ATAAGATATTTATGTTAAGTCTAAATTTCAATTATGAAAAATGAAATGCAACATTGTACCAAAGCATGTTAAAAAAAAATCATATCAACTTCATCATACATAACAGTACTAACGCATAAAGCTTTCATCAACGTAGCATATATTACATTAAAAGATAGATACATAACACAAGATACATGACCCCATTCTTTTTTTTAATGATACATTCATTTAATAAGAGGCCAACAACACCATATTGCATAGTACTTTATATCTCAAAAGCAACACAACATCAACAAATTCACATGTCACATAGCACTCTTATATACACACACTCCATCTTTCATCAATATTTCTTGTAGACTTTAATGTCCCTCCATCTTGATTCCATATAGTAACTCTCACCAAATTGTTCATAAACACCAAATTTGAAGAAGAAATTACTAACCCCTCTTCCATCCCTCTGCAGCTTCTGAACGCCATCAATGAAAATTGTCAACTTGTTAGCATCAACATCATGTATAACATTCACTCGCATCCACCTATCAAAAATATTAGATTCCACTACTTTTACTGAATATGCTCTGAGTTCTCCATCAAAAACCTTTAACATTAAATCTGTAGCCGGCTTTTCATCATTTGCTCTATGAATCTGCATTATAGAAACACCATTTGTTCCCTTGGGAACAAAAACATAGCCTTCAAATTGCCAAACTCCACTAGAGTAATCATAACCCTGTGACATTCATTCAAATTAAATATTTCAAAATTTTAAATAAAAAAGTCGATATAAAATACTTATATCAATTATTTTAGTTGAATAACTATTATCACTATAAAACCGTCAACAAATAACTAAATTACTTTGCAAGACATGAATGACAATTACATGAAAATCAATATAAAATACTTTATCAATTATTTCAGTAAATGTGAAAGTTCATGTTGTGTCAGATATGTAAATATATTATTGGGTAATGTGGAGACCCGGTACACCGCAATTTAATTAGTTTCTTAATTAATAATCACACCTACCACATTCCACATACCGCTCACCTATCTCCCACTCACCG